TAAGATAACTCCTATTTTTTTGCATAGTTAAATACATGTCTTCGTACAGTGATTGATAGATCCAAATAAATAAAAAATTCTTCCAAGGTCATGTTCATTAATCATTATGTGTATATGTTTATATATAGAGAGGGAGTCTGTTTAATATGCCTCTATTTTAATTTGAAGGGCAATTGAATTTACGCCTTAACAAATTATAACTAACAGAAGAAGATCTGTAAAATAGGATGACAGTAGACCGAAATAGTTCAACACATATCCAGCAAATGATGGACATTTTTGATGATGAGTGATACAAAACACATTTCATAAAGGAAGAGCGATAAGACAGAAATAATTTTTCAAAGATTTGACGAAAAGGAAATAAATCATTCTGAAGAGAAGAGGGGTACGATTAGTTAATACCTGTAATGTTTATCGCAACCGATTATCTGTTGCGATGAACATAGCATAAACCCAAGAGAACCAAATACAACATAGATCAGAAAAAACATAAGGCTGTTTGTATAGGAGAAAAGCTCGAGCATGAAAAGCTAACAATAATCAATCGCTGTTTTAGTGCTTGACATTGGAAATTAGCTGCACGTCTTTTATAAAGATTTTCATCATTCAAACCAGTTCAACATTTACTGAACATAAAGACAAGCTTGTGAGGAAATTTCTCCAAGTGTCCACTCGTTTTTTTCCATCAGAGTTACTTACTTTTATGTTATTTTTGATCCTGATTACAAACGTATTGTCCATTTTGATCGGTACGGGTGTTTTAGGTGTATTTCTGGAACACTGGTGAAGATCACAGATAAACAAATCCTGATTCGTCCACTTTGTGGAGCTACCCAGGTCGAGCAAAACGGATATCCGTTACGGACCGTCTGCAGGACGCAGGAATAGGGACCGTAACATCATTAAAATAAGGCCGTATACGGCCGTATTTTCACAGTATACGACCCCGTATTACTGTGCCCAGAAACGGTACCGTTTACGGGTCGTATATTGTGAAAATACGGCCGTAGACGGCCCTATTTTAATGATGTTACGGTCCATATTCCTGCGTCCAGTAGACCGTCCGTATATGGACCGTATCGTCCGATCTGGGTAGTCAAGTTGTTCGTATATAAAATTTTGAGAATTTCCGAACAAGTTTCCATTGAGTCACAAAATATTTATGATCTGATTTCTAGCAGTAATATAACTTTACAGTTATTTTTGCAGCAAGTTTTCTGTAGCTCAACGAAAACTTGTCGAAGAATTCTCAGAATTTTATATACGAACAACTTGACTAGCTTCACAAAGTGGACGAATCAGGATTTGTTCATCTGTGATCTTCACCAGTGTTCCAGAAATACACCTAAAAAACCCGTATGGACTAAAATGGACAATATGATTGTAATCAGCATCAAAAATAACATAAAAGCAAGTAATTTTGATGGAAAAAAACGAGCGGCTACTTGCGACTGTTCCTTTATTAGAGTGCCGATAGTGTAAAATATTTTTTGTGGTATGTAGAAATCGAAAATGTAGGTTAAATGTCTTGAATAGGAATGTTCGGTTCTCGGTTCCGGAATCGAGAATCGTGGTTCTGGAACCGAAACCACGATGACGGTGCTCCACTTAGAACCAGAAAATAATTTTTCAGGCAGTAGGAAGTCAGCGGAATAGAATTCATTTTATAGTAAAAGAAAGGATTCTTTTAAATGCTGACAGGCAAACATATCTTTTTGTAGCTTTGTCAATAGTGTAACGGCGGTTCCGGTTCCTGATGCCGAGCTGAACCGCAGTTCCGGTTCTTCACGAGAATCGAACATCCCTAGTCTTGCAAATGCTGCAATAAGAGGTCAGAGTGACAGTTTTTCGAAAGAAACTAGTATAACTTTAATACTGACGCAGAAGCAGTTGATGTTGCATCAGATGTACATAATACAGTTTGCTGTTTTTGATAATGGGAAGAGAAGTTCTGGTAGTAACGCCAAAGGTAAAAATATTATTTTGCTGCCAATATTCAGCTCCCTCTATTGATCATAGCGACATCCTTTCTTGTTTTAATAGAGCATTTAATATTGATGCTCTACGCCCTCTGGTAAAAAACATTATAATAATTAAATGAAATTCCTCTACATGAATCATTTATCAACAGTAAAATGATTTAAACTTTTTGAAAAATCAGAACTGCAAATAGTGTAAAAGAAAGTTTTTCGTTTGTTTGTGTATGTGCTGTTTTTCTCTAGAAAATCTTGAAATGAACGATATTTGATTGGATTCGATTCACTCATCCATCCAAGCTGCCGTTTTTTCTTTTTACTATCGATAAAATATCGTTGCATAGTGGGTGATCTGTAAAATGTCACATCGTTGTTGGTTTTTTTTTATTTTAGAAGATAAAGATATTATTTAGAAAAGGAGAAAAACTAAAGATTTTCTCGAGTTCTTCACACACATATGCACACACCAAACTAAATTATATCAATTATTAAATAAGGAAGTTGTTTCAAGATAGATTGTTTTTCATTTTCGGTACATGAACGACTGAAAACATATTTAATTATTTTAAACAAAAACATGTAAAGAGTACTGTTGCATATATCCAATAAAATAGATATAGAGAGAAAGAAAGAAGGCGAACAAATACGTTTATTGTTGTCGTTTTTTGAAATATTGTTTGATGTAACAGTTAAAGAAACTATTGATTTTATTTAGAAAACTTAGACACAGAATGTCATTATGAATATTTTTCGAAAAAAACCAGGTATATTAGTCTTATTTTGTGATGTGTATTTAAAGAAAATTTTTATTCAACCCACTTCGTATGATACTTGTCTGTATCACTTCTTACGATCAAAAATTCATCAGTTTCTTTTGATAAGAGATAAGTGTTGAGACTACATAATTTAAACAAAAAAGCAAAGATCAAGATGTTTTTAATTGAAGAGTTACTAGACTTTGAAAGATAATAATATGATTTAGAAAGAAAACTCGTTTTCAACTAATAACTTTTTGAATATTTATCTTTAATATAACTTTGAATTTCTAATTATTCAAGAACTAACACAAATAGTTTGACATCACAATGTTATTAATGTTAAATATAATAAAATTTCCACAAAAACAAAGTCAAATTATTATTTCGTGACTGTCGTCAGTAATTGTTAAACTATTCAATCTGTACCTACTTCTGTTGGCAGTGGAATCAAAAACGTATAAATGTCTTAAATAATTATATCAACATCGACATGATCTAAATCCTATGCATAAAAAACAACACGATAAGAGAGGAAAAAAAAATTTAATCCCTCATACAACACATAATTATGATGATTTTTCTTTTCTGAGCATATTATTCAAGCACTTGATCTTCGTAATTTTTCTTTTCAAGATACTCCAACTTTATCTATATATAAATAAATATGTTTTTCTTTTTTCAGAACTATTTGCAAAATAAAAAAAAAGTTTTTCTTTTTTTTTTTTTTTTTGCTGTCTCTCATCAACTTTCCCTATGCGTCTCTGTCTTCCATCAACAGATAAGAAACGGTTTTATATTTCCTTCTTGTATAGATATAGATCCTATATGCGAAGTTTTCTTTTTATTGTCCACATCGTGTTTTTTTCTTGTGAAAAAAAGAAGTAGGAAAAATGTTAATAATAAATATAGTCTATTTCCATTTTTTTTATTTTTGTTTAAAGTGGTGCAATTTTTATGGTTATTATCCGAAAGGCAGCATGAAAAACCGTAAAAGAGAGAGAGAGAGAGAGAGAGGGAAAGAAAAGAAGTGTTCCTTTTTTATTGCTATAGTTGAATTTTGAACATTATTGTCGACTTGTGTTGAAAATGCTTTTTTCTTTTTTTCTTTCTTCTATTTCACCCCGATTAAATCTTTTTAAGAAAAAGAAGAAAAAACTGTAATAGCAATAGAAGATGAAATGATGAACTAAAGTTGTTGTTGTTGCATAAAAGATACTAGACCTTTGCTCTTTAGAAAAGTCATTTCAAATGACTTTTGATTATACACCTTTTAGAGAGTTCTGCAGTATACAGCTGATGCATATAGAATGCAAACTGAAAATTCAATCCAAAGAAAAACACTTCTTATCCCCCTCTCTCCCCTCTGCTTTTTTCTTATTCTGTTATAATCAAAATTATTACTTTTTTATTACTAGTATTATTTTGACAATTTAATCGACATTAGAGTATTTTTATTATTCTGATGTCCATCATTGTTGTTATAACTGCTCTAAAGCTGATTCTTATTTTCCTTCGGAAATAGGAGAGTTTTCTATTTTTTCTTCATTATCATAGCCAAGGGAAAAGAACGCAATGACGGAAACAAGGGTTTGCTTATTCCGTTTCTTTTCTCTTCTTCTTTCCTTCTTTTTTACTATCCTATTTGCTATTGATATATTACGACCATAACCATCATTGCACTACCATCATTAACAACAATAAGACATTTTCTTCTTATGTTTCATATATATATATAGAGATATATACAGATTTAATGCATTTAAGCGCATGTCGTGCGCAAAAAATCATCATTGCGCACGAGTATATACCATCATGACACCTTTACTACCTAGAATATATATGTCTACAATAATTATTTTTGAAGTTAAACTATGATTATGATAATCTATTTCTTTATTTTATTATACATTACTAATCATAAGACTATGCTATATTCTAATTAGAACAATTTGATCTAATTTTTTTTTATCGTGTGCATATTTATTCACTTGAAGTATTTATATATTCTACTTGTTCGTTCTTCTTATTCTTTTTGTCTTATCCACGCAGTCATATACATTTTTCACGATAGTGTGTCACATACATACATTATGATCAATGAATGAATTTTTATTATCATTATTTTATATCTCTATCATTGTTGTTGTTGTTGTCGTTGTCCATAAAGAACAAGAAACAATAGAAGAAGTTCAAAACATTTGATCATAAATATATAATCGATGATAAAATACATTGTCAACGGATATTTAAAAAAACTGAGATTATGAGTTTAATTAAATGTTGTACAGTTAATCCAAAAAAGAAACAGCGAAAGTACGGTAGGTTTCAATGAGTGTGTGTGAGAGAGGGAGAGAGAGAGACATTTTGTGTGTGTGTGAGAGAGAGAGAGAGAGAAATTTTGTGTGTGTGTGTGTGTGAGAGAGAGAGAGAAATTGTTTTCTTGATGATTGATATAAATTTCTCGACGTAAAAATCCTCCTGAGAGTCTAAAAACAAGATTAGTCTTAGATTCTATAAACATCGGTTCTATCAAGAAAATAAAGATTTTGTTGAATACATTTAATTGAAAAGTACACAATTTAGCATTGTACTCGATTGTTTATTAAGTTTTTGCCTTATCATTTTGTCTTAAAATTTGAGATTTTTTTTCTATTTGTAATAATAATTGTAAACTGTAAAGTCACAGAGAAAAACATAATTTACAGCATAAAAAATAAAAACGGTTATTTTGACGATGTTATTATTTTTTTCAGGTTCTTGATGCCACATGCTATAGAAGAAAAAAATGTTTGAGGTTTCATTTTAAACTGATGAAACGTCTCACTTACTATATTTTACAGGAACTGAATTTGATATTCATAAAACCAGTAGGTTTTTTTAAAATGACATCTTTCTTCCACAGATGAATAAATTTCTAGATGGTCAACTTTTAAACAAAAAAAAAATAGATGCCTAGAGCGATTAAACTAGTCAATGAGGAATTTAACATTATTAGCCCTATATGACAACATTTTTTTTTCAAGCTGTTACGCATGTATAAATAATTTATCCATTGGCATTCTGTTCTATATAATTTAGCTATTTTCGTGTTTCGAATGCAAATAAAATAAAACTAATCTGTGTACCCTCGAACTAACTATAATGTTTCTTGTATTTTCTAAGAATTTAGTTTAGTAAATTACATTTTTTTTTTTTTATGTCATCAGAATAAAACCGTAAGATGATGTTGTATCTATAGATTTGACAAAAAAAAAAAAAAAAAATCTGATTCCCAGTTTTTTTTGTTTTATTTTTTATTCAAAAAAATCCCGTGTATAAAGATTTATTTTTTTTCTTCTGTTCGCTGACGTCACACACTCAATTGACTATTGTTGATCGGATATATCCTAACAATAGAGTTACTAGTTGTAAAGAAAAAAAAAAAAATTATCATTTATTATTATATAAAAAATGTTCGAGTGTGGAGTATGTAGAAGAAGAAAGCGAACGTGGTCTATAAGAACAAATTACACCTATAGACATTTTTTAGTATAATTTTACTTAAAATAAATTTTCAGAACTTTTTCTGTCTTATCAGACGAATAGATAGATGTTGTTAATCCCTATACAATTAAAAGAGATAAAAAAGTTATTGATAAAAAAAAGAAACAAAATTTAATATTTGAGAAATATCTGTATGCCAAACACAATATTTTTTTTTGTTTTGATGAGACGAGAATTTTTCTTTTGGTTATTTGAACATATTATATTTGTCTTAGATCAAAATTTGTTTCTAATCAATTATCACTTGTTATCATATGTCAGTACAAGAATTTGAATTAGACAAAATGTTTTTTGTATGGAATAATGAAAAAATGAAGTAGACAACAAGAATTGTCTATAAATTTTCTTTTTAATTAACTGAAGATACAACTCTTTTACTTCAAGTTAATGCACTTTTATAAGTTACTTGTATAAAATCATTGTCTGCATAAATATATTTTTTCTATGAGCGTTTTTCTTCATCTTCTTTTCTTCTTCTCCTTGTTAATTAAAATTTATTTATCTATTTTTATCTATTTCATCGTAAAAAAGAATATACTTTTTTTTAATTATATATCTATTCTCATTTTTTAAGTCACCGGGATTATGTTCTTTGAGTACTCATACTATCTCTCTGTTGTTTTATGTTATACTAGGTCATAACATTTATTAAATATTTACACTAACAAAAAAAAAAAAAATATGCGTGATTGAATAAAAAATGACAAATTATAGATGAATACTTTTCATTATAAACACATAGAAAATTTTCAATGTTTCAAAATCAATGATGTTAGTTTAAATTGTTCTAAAAATGACTATATAAAATAATATCAAAGAAAACAAAAAGAATATACGAATTAGAAAAACGATATAAAATTATTTATACATTAGAAACTATAATGTAGACTAAAGACATTAAAACCCCAAAACATTATTTTGTTCATACTTGGTCTATTGAACAACTGTTATTGTTTTGTTTTTCCTAATGAAAATAGTTGTATCATGTATCAAAACGATAAAATAGTGTCTAGTTCTAAAAAAAAAGCATATCTATTTATTTTAGAAGAAATTTTCTTGTCTATGATTATATTTTCTCTTTTCTCTTGTTTTAGCCACTGATTTAGTGACACCAGATGCTGTTCGATATTTTTTAAATGATAATCCTGAATTTCTTGAAAGTTATATATTAAATCATGTTAATCATAATACAATTGAACAATGGATATGCAAATTAAACCGACCATCAATAAGAAATTCAGCAAACAATATAGATACAAATACCGCTTCAAAATCAAATGGTAAGTTTTATCATTCAGTAATATTATATTTGAAAATTTGATAGTTAAATAAATAATAGAATAACTTTTAATATCTATCAGATGTATTGTCAAATTCATATTAGACATTTATAACATGGCTAATGTTACACATCTGTATTGTACCGGAACTCTAGTTCGTTTTAAGATCTAAGATTATTTATGAGAGTAAACATTGTAAAAGATGACAATAATAAATCTTGTTATCGTATTATTCATATACATACATACATGCATACATACATACAGTATCAAAAATCTATATGAAAATTACAAGATATATATTTTAGCAATTATTCATGATTATTATATTTCAATTATTATTTAGCTCAACGACTATCGATCACAACAGAAAAATCAATTATAAAAGTAAGTTTGACATTTGATTATATATCCTACTGATGAAAATGATGTCTTTATTATTGATATTTAAAGTTAAGCGAACTTGGAGACAAACGACGTTTGTTAAACGAATTAACAGATGATATACATCAAAATGTAACCAAAGCTCAAATACTATATGAATTAGGCAAATGTATATCACAAAGTATATACACTTTTCTTTTGCCTTTTTTTTGTTAAAAATTGATATGAATGAATGATGTTTCATTTTCTCAGCTGTGGCAGCCGATAACTTTAATTTATATCTTGTTGATGAAACCGGTGCTAGTATGAGAGTATACAATGCTGAAAATGATGAGTACGTCTTTTTTTCGAATCTATTCATTAACTATTTGTTTCATATAAATCGTTTTTCTCTTATTTAGAGATAATGCCGTTCATTTTGCTCCAGTAAAAATTGGAGTTGGTCATTGTATAGCAGGATATGTCGGCTATACTAAAGAAACCGTACGAATTAGCAATATGGCAAATGTATGAAATATAAGAGAACCAAAATTCAGTTATAGTTTGCTTTATTTTGATTTATATAGCTTTCTTCAAAATATCCGGATGGATTATATGTTGCAAACGGTAATGTGACATGTGTCATGGCACATCCACTAGTTAATAATAATGGACAGCTTCTTGGTATGTAGTAGATTGTAATAAATATTGTTATCTATTAACATTTGTTGTACTTCTAGGTGTTGTTGAATTTTACCGTGAAAACAGCGCAAGTTCGTTCACTAATGAAGATGAAGAGGTAAGTGCCTGACATTTAATTTTGTTGTATGTACAAATAGTGCTTATATTTCATGCACGCATACACGCAGACACCACTTTAGCACATGAAGACTATTGTAGTTTCTGACGCAACATATTGACACATGGTGTGGTCTATGAACAGACTCTATAGATAGTCTGATACTCAGATATAAGATATGTATGTTAGGATGATATATACCAAACGAAAATTCGCTGATGTATGTCTTGTTTCAGTAAAAAACGAGACAATCGACACTATACTATTGACCTGCATTGTATATATCATCCCTTGAGCATGTACTACCTATTTAACAGTTTTAGACTCAATAATGTTGTTAGACGCTTGTTGTTTAAAGTAAAACTTTTTTTGTTCGTATCTTTGCAGAAAACTCTTCTATATATAAAACATTAATGTTATTTTCTCTTTCATTTTGTTCAAGGAGACTTTAAAATGCGTTCGTGAGCTTTTTACCCAGACATACTATGAGGTATATTATATCTATTTGTGTGTGTTAGTGTGTATAATCAAAAAAAGTGAATCAGATATAGCAAACTAATATCTGATTTTATTTATTTATTTATATTCTTCTGCTTGTTATACCCAAATATCATTTTTCTCTTCATCTTTCTGTATCAAATTATGCTACCAAATGCTTATTATTATTTAAATTAATGCTGCTATAGAAATCCTACGATATTCTTTCCTCAACACCCTATATCCTTTGTTTGATTGGTTAACAATTCTATTTTCCTAGTTATCCCAAGGTTAAATCATATTATGGTGGTAATTTTTTGGGTTGTTTGTCAAAAAGTAAAAAAGTGAAAAAGTTCTAGTGTAGTGGTTTATGAGGTGCCGCTAATTCTAAGGTTGAGGAAAACTTTTTATCGTGATATTTATATATGGTTGGATAGAGCTTGTCGAGCTGTATCAGAATATGTGTGATTTAATCTTCAAAAAGCAATTTTTAAGGTCGAAAATTTGAAAAAACTCATATTT